TTAATCTGAATAACTGAAAATATACCTACTGACTAGTTTCACAAAATTGTCACTTAAGTATTTAAAATTTAAAAAAACAGTAGTCTGGTGACCAAAATATAAATATAAAATATACTGAAAATTAACAGTTATCTTTATAAAATTTAAAAAAATAATAGAAGACCGGTAACCAAAATATGAACTTTGATTGGTGGATTTTTTTTTGAACTGTTCTTACTAGGTAGAATCGATATGAAGTATATTCGTTCATTTGAACCCAATGGAATACTTTTTCATTTTGTGGTATGTACGTAGATCCATGTGGGTGTAGAAAAAATAATTTATTTCTTAAAAGGTGTTTAAAGGCAAGGATCGATGTTTTCACATGCATTACTTCATTGATAATGATCAGGTATACACCAGCCTTAAATAAATGTAAGAGGAAAAATTCCTAATTGTCAAATGGACCAATTTAAAATGAAAGGAAAAGAAAAAATCTTAAAGACCGTGTCACAGCCAAGTTGAGTTTGGAGCTACCCTTTCCCTCCTGAAAACAACTAGTCCCCTTGCTAATACCGCAACAAGCGTTGCATTATATCAGAATGAAAAGAGCAGAGATAGAAAATCAATTTCAATACTCTGGCTTTGATTTTGTTTCCTGCGGAGAAATTCATACTTGGACGGTTTTCGTCTTTACTAGGACTCATCAGCAAGCATTAGACGATTTAGACTTCAGTCTCTAATAAAGTCTGCTTGATGTGTTAGATTAGATTAGATTGGGAGTTGGACGTTATTTGTCCTTGTCCACCGCGACCTTTTTAGATCTATTGTGGGACTCCACTTGTTTTAGAGTATGTCGTCTAGCCTGATCTTTTTAATTAGACTTAGTAGCTTTGACAGTGGCTCTCGCATGTAGTTGCATGCATTTGGCTTTTCTTCGCCCAATGTTAGAAACCTCATTCCAGCTAGGCCTTCACATTTTCACAGGACGTGGAATGATGTTTCCTCTTCTTCTTCTTCACAGAACCTGCACAAAGTTGCTTCTTCTGCTGGATTGATGACACTAATGTGCCTTTGGAGGTGACAGTGTCCAGTAAGGATGCCTACTGTTATCCTAACGGTTTGACGCTTTTGATCCAGTAGGTCTTTCGTGAACTTGGCCGATGGTTCCTTGATGAACAGTTTGGCCTGTCTCAGTATTGGATAGTTGTTCCATCATTCCTGAGACTCTTTTTGCATCCATTGTTTAATGTATGCCTTGCACAATGCTTTAGCAACTCCACAGAAGGGTTCGGGGCCTGTCATGGCCTTATCTGAGCCTTCTCGGGCTAATTCGTTGCCCTGATATCCCTCATGGTCTGGAACCCAGGCTAGTGTCACCTTATTTTGACTACTTAGCTCTGCCAGGTCTTCTAGACAGTCTTTAACCAGTCCTGATTTGATTTCAGGTGAGAGAATTGTCTTTAGAGCTGCTTGGCTATCAGAGTATATGGCAATAGTTTTGCCTGATACTTGCTGATTTAATATTTCTCTTACACAGTGTTGTATGGCTATTAGTTCAGCCTGGAACACTGTTGCATATTTTTCTAGACTCAGCGAAATCGTTGTTTTCGACTTGGGTCCATAGATTCCAGCACCGGCTCCTTCCTTGGTTTTTGAACCGTCTGTGTACCAGACGAGTTCAGCTTGTACGGGAGGTCCCCGTTTCCAGGATTCTCGGGCTGGTATCTGAATTTGAAAATTTCTTTTAAATTTGTATGTGGTTATGGCTCTATCAGTAGGCATAGCTAGAAAATTGTTTCTTTTTACTTGCTGATATAGCCTTGTGTGGTCGGCCCTATGTAGTTGACTTATTGGGTTTTGTCTCTGCATTAGTCTGTGAATAGCTAACCTGGTTTCTCTTTGTATGAAGATGTGCAGTTACGTTTAATTTAATAATACCTCCATTGCTGCAGTCGGCGTAGTGCGCATAACCCCAGTAGCACTTAGACAGGTAAGCCGCTGAATGCTAATGAGCTGGCCTATTGCACTTGCCTGTGCAGTTTTGGTTACCCACGCCACTGAGCCATAGGTTATCATGGGTCGTATTACCCTTGTGTATAACCATATGGTCATTTTGGGGTTTAGACCCCAGTTGTTCCCTCATAGTCTTTTACAGCTTACGAGAGCTATTGTAGCTTTATATGTGAGTTTTTTGAGATGTTGATTCCACGTCAGCCTTTGGTCAAATATGACCCCGAGGGTATTTGGCTTCTGTGACGAATGGGATAACTATGTTGTTTAGTACTGTGGTTTTAGTCCTGTTAAGTACCCGTTTTTTTGTGAATGGTACAACTGTTGTTATTTGTGCGTTAATGGACAATTGTTCCTTTTTGCACCAGTTGTTCACTATGTTTAGAGCTGTTTGAGATCGCTTCGAGACTGTGCCTGCAAATCGACCCCTGACGATAATTGCCAGGTCGTCAGCGTATCCTAGACACTAGTAGTCTTTTTTGGACAATGTTTTGAGTAAGTCGTTCACAAGAACTGACCACAGCATTGGAGATGATATTTCTTCTTGTGGGCAGCCCCGTGTAACTTTTGCCTGTATAGTTGCCTTTCCTAGAGTGGATAAAATGTTCCTTTTCTCTAGACAGGCAGTGATCCATTGGCATAATGTAACTGGGACGTTTCTCTGTTCTAGAGCCTTGGATGTGTTATCTTCACTTGTATGCATGAAAGATGGTTAAGGACGAATAGTTAATCAACGAGTAAAAATGGTAACGCCATGTTCACTTGGAAACAAAATCAAAGCTCGCTGTGTACCTATAGTTCTCTAGAACAAGGTGGAGTAATAGCCAGTCACGCATATGTTAGAGGAAAAATTCAAATTTCTCAAATGTGACCAACTGAAAATAAAATAAAAAAATAGAAGATATTTTTCTCTTTTCCATTCATTTCATTTTTTTTATTAGTATCTTTGGCTTCGAAAACATAGGTCATTAGCCTCGTGTTCTATATAGGTTATGAATTCTACTAGTAGTCTAATAATCCATAATGCAGGAGAGCTGGTAATCTAATACTCCTGCACTACATACAGGCCTTGTTACTGTTTCCCAGCGTCATTTTAGGGTCAGAACCGTGGGGAACCCTACCTACCCAGTAAACCACAAATAGTTGGCATTCGCTCGGCCTGACTTTGGCATGTACGGGAAGCCGAGTACTCGGATTGCCGTTGTCGGGGTTTCTTCTAAGCCGGGAGTACCGTACCATTTGACGTAATTTAGGCGTAGAAAGCGCATGTGGTCTTTATTTGGCTAGCCGGGCATGGGAGGCATCCTTACGGGCCGAACTATATATAGATATACGAACGGGGCTACAATGTAATGGGCTTCCGACATTCGGGTGGGCGGACATGCCCTACCTATATGCCGAAGCTGCACCCGTATATCGGGCCGAGTACGGCATTCGGCAAGCCTCCTTCGGTCCAATTACGGTGCCGATTAACTGTGTTTATTGAATATGCATTATAACTATTTTTAAATAAATTAAATTAAATAATAGTGTTGAGATTGAAATTTTTTCCCTTTTCCTTCCATTTTTTTTCCTTTCAAATAAATATAAATTTAAAAATAGAGTCCCTAAAACTACCACAATAATATGTGTAGAAAAATTTTTAAGGTTGAGGTATGTATTTTTGTAAAAATTATCTCCAGTAAAGCGCTACTTTTGAGAAATATAATGTATCCTTTGTTTATAAAAATAATTAGGGAAATAAATTACAAAGAATAACAATAAATATACTTTATTAAAAATCAAAATAACAGATTTGTTTTCTAAAATACAAATGGCACTCAATCATTTCTGGTTTTAATTAGTAATATATTTGAGATAAATTAAAGCAATCCTACACTAGGTACAGAATAATAAGTAATAAGAAAGAATACAGTGAATTAAGCAGAAATAATATAGAAAATTACCTACTTATTGATTTTTGTACACCGAGAAAAAACTTTGCTAGTGGGTAGGTACTAAAAATTTAATACCGGTAATTAAATTTTTTAATACTATATGAGACAGCTAAACTGATTAATAGCACATATTAAACTTTTGTTCTTGGATCAGTGTTGCTAACACAAGCAAACAAATAAAAAACTTTGCTTATCATTAGTAAATTAATTTGGTAACAGGTATTATACAGTTTAGTAGGAAGAACTAAATACTTTATTAGTCATTATTAAACAGGGTAATGATAGATATTGAACAGCGTAATAGCACTTAGTTATTGATAATTTAATAACTGTTATTAATGGCTTTAATGATTGATATTTTCAGGTCCTAATACTGTCTATTAAACCACTCTAATTATGATTATTGAATAGTTTCATAGAGGTCGTTCAAAAATATCTCCTTCTCCAGTAATTGGTATTTGTGAAATATAACCATATGCAAACCTTAGGTTAGTACCCCACTCTTTTTTATTTTTAGTTCAAAAAAAACCAACATAGATATTATTTGGACGATTGTGGGTCAATTTTTTCAAAACTTGTTATAGTTTTTATAGAAGGAAATTACAAAATTTTTTTTGAGACGTGAACGGAATTAGGGATTTTCTGACGCAATGAGTCACTGAAAGAATTTTATGGGAATTCCCTTACTTTAGTATTATTGTAATGTTATTATTTATATACTTACTGGTTCTTACTCATCTGGCTGATATTTATTTTTTTATTTTTTAAGTTAAGATGTTAAGTTGTTTACGGTTTTGGGTTTTCAATATTTTTTTCTCTCATATTCGTAAAGCCATATTGTGCTCTAGATTGAATAATTATTAAGTGAACATGCAGGGCACATCTATACATCGAAAGATGTATAGGTATGTCTATCATAATACTGGTTGAGTGGAAGAGCAAAACTCTGATTTTTATCAGAGATTTTGAACTCTGCCATTTGGCAAACTATTTGTATTTATATATTTTTTTTCTTCTTTGTATCAGGTACTTAGTTTGGCCAATAAAAGCATTTATTATTATTATTATTATTACTTCTAGCAAAAATATCTTAACGGGAAAAGTACCACCAGACAAAAGAGTTTAATATCTTTATAAATATATAATTAATTCACATTCAAAAATGAAAGTGAACGGGCACATTGCATTTATTGATTTATGGTCGTGATAACCAGTTTAGTTTGAGGACCACTTGACTCAGTCTAGAGAGAAATATTTTTGCTTTGTATTTTTCAATAATGTTAGATTTTAAGAAAATAGGTATGCATACTTATTACCGAAAATTATCTTCTGCCTTTTACCTTTTGTTACAGAGTGTACTTATAAACTACCGTATCGAAATACCGTTTGTGCTGTTTTTGGAGTATTTTTATTACTGAATTTCCTAAAGAAATTAATTTTGCTATTAGAAAAATTATTAAGTAATTCGTGGTCATAATAATTGAACCATTTTGCTATTACAAAAAAAATGCAGTTCCTGATTACTTATTTAAGCCTTATAGGTGCCGTGAGTTAATACAAGAAGGAAGATAATTTTGATAAATATCGAACTAAAACTATTTCTATGTTTGCGTTTACTAGATCTAAATTTAAGTAGGCACCTCTTAAACATTTTAATTCGATTTATGATTGAATATTCTTGTTTGTTTATTGTAATCTAGTGTTTTGTAAATATTAGTTATGTTTTTATTTCAGAGCGTTTTCTGTGTACACCTCTAGCGACTAATGTTGCGATTAATCTGGCATACACCAGGTGTTGGTTTTGAAGCATACAGACTATTTTTTGTATTTATATTATACCGGGGGTCGTTGAAAGTTACTCTCTTGGTACAAACAATTTGTTGTGCTGATCTTTTACTTTTACTATGCTAATTTCTTTATTTGGGTATACATATTGTGTTTAGTTTGAATTAACCTTTGTTTTGTCCAGCATACCCTAAATTCTGACACTTATGTTCATTTAAATTGTTGACTTTAATTACTTGTAAATAAACTCGTTATCAAAACTAATGTGTTTTAGTGAGACCAGCCCACAGTTCACAGATGACTTTGCTTACTGATACATATGCTAGCTCTAATTTTTTTTGTCGCGCAATTAATTTTTTAAAATTTTTTGATGACGAATAATATACAATTTAATGATTAATTTGCTTTTCGCTTAGTTTCGTAGTTTTTGGAATTTTTTCTTTATAAAAATTTCTGGCGTTCAAAATAAGTAAATATTTCGTAAACATCTACCTTGAGACTCACCTCCCAGTTGCTCTCCTACCAAAACAAGAGTGCCGTTTGCATTATGTTAACTGGCTATCGTTGTGGTTTAATTTCGTGTATTAGCGATACTGTTACCCAGTACCGTATCAAGATTAGTTAGAATAATATCGTACCATCCAGTAAAGATGTAACAATGTTAATGGATTTAGCACAAAAATAATAAATCTTTCTAGTACTTGAATAATTATGTACCGGAAATGTTTCACATAAAAAGAGCGTCTGATTTGCTAAAAAAAAACGCTGGTTTGATGGTTTTATATTTTCTCTTAAATATAAATAAATCAAAGTTCTCTAAATTCTCTCCATTTATTTAACTTCAGTTATTTAACCGATTACAATAAAGATATTTTTTAATGTACTAACTATGCAGTGCTTTAAACAAGACACTTACCCCACGTGCTCTAGTCAAATAAGAAATTTGATGGAAACGTTTTTAATGACAAGTTATACGTCAGTGACATTGGTTTGGGGTTGATGCTAAAATTAATAGTTTTAGTTTTAGCAAACATCAATTTGGTCACGTGGGATTTGATATTGTTGAACTGTACCGTGTTAAAAAGATTACCGCTATAGTAAATACGTTTCTATTTCAAATTTAACTACTTAAATACCATCCGCAAAAAGTATGCAGAGTACTTAAAAATTCGAAATTTTTATTAAATCACTATGTGTGATTAATTAAACAAAAAAAATGTTAAAAGCAATTATACATTTGAAAAGACAGGAGTATTTTTGTACATTTGAAAATACTCCTGTCATTTTGTTTCCAATTTCTCAGTGTATACAAACCGGCAACAGTTGCTATTCATTATATTAGGTAATAATTCTTCTTCTAAATTAGACCGTAAAAATGCATGTCTGAGATTACAAGTTTTCTTCTTTTTTAAATAATAGCTTCGATTTAATATCGTAAATTTTAGATATCCATTCTACAACTCACAACCCAATTTAAAAACACAGCCTTTTCCACTATTTACAAGGTAACCTATGTTCAAACCTTGGAATCTTTATTTTCAATATTTTCCGTATGTGTTATAGGATCCTGTGTAGGCGGCACTACAGATATCGTGGGTGTTCTTGGAGTCGGAGGAGGACTTAACGATGCGGGTTCTTTTTCCTCCATTTTAGGTGGATTACCGCTATTCGCGTCTTCAATGGCTTGCCGAAGTTCTTTTAGTCCCACTACACCTACTAACTTGCCTATAGAAGTAACATAGGCGAAGTTAATGGCCAAAAGTGAGAATAAGGAATGCACTTTTAATAGGGATGTCCGTTCTACAAGCTGGAAGGGAGCTGGATCAATGCGGCATGCTGTAAAATCTACTGCTTGTTTTAGTTGTTCTTCTTCCCAAGCTATTTGTTCTTGAGCTGGTAGGTCGCAAACCCTCAATGATGGCTGAAAAATAGTTTAGACTAAGTTTTATAAATTCATTAAGTTTACTAAGATTACTAAGGTTACTAAGGTTACTAAGGTTACTAAGGTTACTAAGGTTACTAAGGTTACTAAGGTTACTAAGGTTACTAAGATTACTAAGGTTACTAAGGTTACTAAGGTTACTAAGGTTACTAAGGTTACTAAGGTTACTAAGGTTACTAAGGTTACTGGTGTTACTGAGGTTACTAAGGTTACTAAGGTTACTAAGGTTACTAAGGTTACTAAGGTTACTAAGGTTACTAAGGTTACTAAAGTTACTAAGATTATTAAGGTTACTAATGTTATTTAGTTTACTAAGTAAATTTACTAAGTATGTTTACTAAGTAAGTTTACTAAGTAAGTTTACTAAGTAAGTTTACTAAGTAAGTTTACTAAGTAAGTTTACTAAGTAAGTTTACTGAGTAAGTTTACTAAGTAAGTCTACTAAGTAAGTTTACTAAGTAAGTTTACTAAGTAAGTTTACTAAGTAAGTTTACTAAGTAAGTTTACTAAGTAAGTTTACTAAGTAAGTTTACTAAGTAAGTTTACTAAGTAAGTTTACTAAGTAAGTTTACTAAGTAAGTTTACTAAGTAAGTTTACTAAGTAAGTTTACTAAGTAAGTTTACTAAGTAAGTTTACTAAGTAAGTTTACTAAGTAAGTTTACTAAGTAAGTTTACTAAGTAAGTTTACTAAGTAAGTTTACTAAGTAAGTTTACTAAGTAAGTTTACTAAGTAAGTTTACTAAGTAAGTTTACTAAGTAAGTTTACTAAGTAAGTTTACTAAGTAAGTTTACTAAGTAAGTTTACTAAGTAAGTTTACTAAGTAAGTTTACTAAGTAAGTTTACTAAGTAAGTTTACTAAGTAAGTTTTCTAAGTAAGTTTACTAAGTAAGTTTACTAAGTAAGTTTACTAAGTAAGTTTACTAAGTAAGTTTACTAAGTGCGGAGAAATCCTGGTGGAATGGTTAGCAGAAGATGATCTAATTGTCCACAATCAAGGTGATATACCAACATTCATAAGAAGAGGGAGTGAGTCTTACATAGATATTACTTTTAGCATGAAAAATATTGCTAAGCACTTAAAAAACTGAAAAGTCCTCGAGGAAGAAAGTCTCAGCTATCATCAACACATTGTCTATGAAATACGAACAACGGGGAAAATAAAACAATCACAAATTGAATAAGGTTGGGGAATGAAGAAAGACAAACTACATAAACTGTCCGAGGAAGTGGATAAGATACTCAGAACCAAAGATGAATTAATTAATGCAGAAGAACTAGACAAAATCATAGAGTCAGCATGTAATATAGTATTTTCAAAAAAGACACATGAACACTGTAGGAAACCGGTATATTGGTGGTGTGAGGATGTGGCAGAGAAAAGGAAGAACAAAAATCGTGCATCAAGAACAGTATAGGCGAAGCAGTCATTCTAAAGAAAACGATATTTGAGGCTAAGAAAAAAGCTTGGAAACCTCTAATTTAAGAAGTAGATAATGACGTATGGGGAAAGAGTTATCAGATCGTCACAAACAAACTAAGATCCGCAGCACCCATGAATTTAGCGGAAAAGGTTCAAATTGAAACTCTTTCCTGTAAATCCGGAGATAGTATGGATGAGGCTTCCTGTAAATGACGACGAAGTCATCACGTTTAACAAGGTCGAACTCTTAGCAGCAGCCTTAAAAATCAAGGATAAGAAAGCCGCAGGACCTGACAGAATACCACCGGAAGTGGTAAAGACAATTTTAAGAGACCACTCAGGGAGATGTCTGAAAATATTCAACCACTACTATCAGAGAGGGGAATTTCCAAGACAATGGAAAAGAGCAAGGTTAGTGCTATTAGAAAAAGAGAAAGCGGGACAACTAGAAAAAGCCTACCGACCAATTTGTGTACTGAACGTACTAGGAAAAGTGCTGGAGCAGCTGTTACTGACCATACTAAACTCGGAAATTGAAAGAACGGGAGGACGGGAGGACTTGCTACTGAACAGCATGGATTCAGAAAGGGTAAATCTACTATTAGTGCCATGAAAAAAGTACAAGAGCTAGCTGACACAGCAAACAAAAGTCCCCACAGTGAAATAAAACTTTGTGCATTAATAACAGTGGATGTCCAAAATGCGTTTAATTCTGCTACTTGGGGAATAATACTAGCAGAGCTAAAAAGAAGAGAGGTTGCTAGCCAAATTTACAACATGATAGCAAGTTACCTAGAAGATAGGACGTTAGTAGTAGAAACCAAGGAAATGAAAGTAACATGCGGGGTACCACAGGGATCAGTGATAAGGCCTACCCTCTGGAATATATACTACGACGAAGGGCTTAGGATTCCAATACCTAGCAGGGTGAAGTTAGTGGGATATGCCGATGATCTGGCAATTCTGGTTACATCGAAAAATATCATGGACATCAAATGGAAAGCTAACAGAGCTGTCAACATCATAACCAGTTGGATGAAAAATAAAAGCCTTAAACTCGCACCACACAAAACAGAAATTGTGATGTTGGTAAGTGGTAGAAAAGAGAAATCCATCTCAATGAAAGTTGAAGATGTTCAATTACAAAGCCAGGAAATGTGCAAATACCTTGGCGTGTATTTTGATATAAATATAAGAATGGGACAATATATCCGAAAGAGTGCTGAAAGCTTTAGCCAATAACAGCCACATAATGCCAAATCTGGGAGGACCAAGGGAAAATAACAGAAGATTATGTTCTGTGATACAGTCAATAATTCTATACGCTGCAAGAATATAGAAAAAAGCAATTGAGAAGAACATTTATAAAAACATACTACTGAGAGTACAACGAAAAACGGCTATAAGAATAACTAGTGTGTACCGAATAACATTGACAAGTGCGCTACTTCTAATTGCGAGGATGCCGCCGATAAATCTACTTGTGGAAGAACGAATTATGGTTGAAGAAGGTAATGAACCTAAGACCAGCGCTTGAAATAAAATAATAGAAAAATGGCAAGTGACGTGGGCAATAGACGACGGAAAAGCAAACTGGACTAAGAGATTGGTGCTACATATAAGACCATGGATGACTAGGAAACACGGATAAGTAAACTACTTTCTTACACAAATACTGACAGGGCACGGAGCCTTCCAGGCCTATTTGCACAGATTTGGACTAAGTGATACAGCTGACTGTATCTATTGTGGCATGCGGGATACAGCCGAACATACGTTCTTCGAATGCCAAAGATGGGAAGACGAAAGAAGGCACCTAGAAATATTTCCAGGGAGGATAAGACCAGAAACCCTTGTAAGTAGAATAATGGAATCAAAGGAAACATGGAAACTTGTAAATAATACAGCCATTAAGTAAGTTTACTAAGTAAGTTTACTAAGTAAGTTCACTAAGTAAGTTTACTAAGTAAGTTTACTAAGTAAGTTTACTAAGTAAGTTTACTAAGTAAGTTTACTAAGTAAGTTTACTAAGTAAGTTTACTAAGTAAGTTTACTAAGTAAGTTTACTAAGTAAGTTTACTAAGTAAGTTTACTAAGTAAGTTTACTAAGTAAGTTTACTAAGTAAGTTTACTAAGTAAGTTTACTAAGTAAGTTTACTAAGTAAGTTTACTAAGTAAGTTTACTAAGTAAGTTTACTAAGTAAGTTTACTAAGTAAGTTTACTAAGTAAGTTTACTAAGTAAGTTTACTAAGTAAGTTTACTAAGTAAGTTTACTAAGTAAGTTTACTAAGTTTACTAAGTAAGTTTACTAAGTAAGTTTACTAAGTAAGTTTACTAAGTAAGTTTACTAAGTAAGTTTACTAAGTAAGTTTACTAAGTAAGTTTACTAAGTAAGTTTACTAAGTAAGTTTACTAAGTAAGTTTACTAAGTAAGTTTACTAAGTAAGTTTACTAAGTAAGTTTACTAAGTAAGTTTACTAAGTAAGTTTACTAAGTAAGTTTACTAAGTAAGTTTACTAAGTAAGTTTACTAAGTAAGTTTACTAAGTAAGTTTACTAAGTAAGTTTACTAAGTAAGTTTACTAAGTAAGTTTACTAAGTAAGTTTACTAAGTAAGTTTACTAAGTAAGTTTACTAAGTAAGTTTACTAAGTAAGTTTACTAAGTAAGTTTACTAAGTAAGTTTACTAAGTAAATTTCATAAGTAAATTTACTAAGTAAGTTTACTGAGTAAGTTTACTGAATAAGTTTACGAAGTAAGTTTACTAAGTAAGTTTACGAAGTAAGTTTACGAAGTAAGTTTACGAAGTAAGTTTACGAAGTAAGTTTACTAAGTAAGTTTACTAAGTAAGTTTACTGAGAAAGTTTACTAAGTAAGTTTTAGTTTACTAAGTAAGTTTTAGTTTACTAAGTAAGTTTTAGTTTACTAAATAAGTTTTAGTTTACTAAGTAAGTTTACTAAGTAAGTTTAAGTTTACTAAGTAAGTTTACTAAGTTCACTAAGTTTACTAAGTGAAGAGTAACGTGACATTCTAACGTAAAAATGTCATTTTAAACTTTGCTTAGTAATTTAAACTTCATTTTAACACATCGGTGAAATCGACCCTAAGTTTACTAAGAAGTTAAGTTTTTTAGACTTTGTCATGAATGTAAATAGAAAAGAATCACGCAATTACTCAATCTAATAATATTACATTTTGCACTATTTTAACTAGGTAACTACCTACTTACCACTTCTAAACTGGATAAAGACAATGCCGTCCGTTTACTTTCAAGTGGACTTTTTCTTTCAGGAAGGGGAGATTTCGGCATGAGGGGAGGAAGGGGCTTTCTTTTGGGAGTTGTCCATTTTTTCATAATTTCCTCTTTTGTTTCCTGTAAAAACGTTACCGTTTCAGTTTTGTATTAATTAGTCCATTAATAATAATTTAATATAGCCTGAATAAGAACAGAAAATAATTTAAAAATTCGGAAACGAATCTCAAAAATCCCCTTACGAATTATTAAGACCTTCCTCGTACCCCAAAGGCTGTAACTCATCAATATTGAACTACATTTAGCTAGATTGGTATAAAGTTCATCCATGATACTGATTTTTTATTTTCTTTTTATCTTTACTCTGCCATTTTAATGTTTTTATTTTAAATAATTATCTACTTAAGTATTTTTAACGTAATTTGTATTAATAGTTATTCATTTCACATTAATATTTACTGAATTTTGTCTATTTATTTTGTTAAATTTTTATGAAAAAATGATGTCAAGTTTACTCACTCAACCAACCGCTATTAAATTGATAAGCATTTTGTATCAATAGGAAAAAACTAGAGATAAGGTTCTTAAAGTATATTGGCTGTTTGGTCTGAGGTATCAGTTCATTTTGGAAAAACGGTCTCTTGCTCAAATTAGTTTGGGATTCCCTGCTATATACCATTACGACACTGACTGTCGAGATTTATAGACGGTAGTTTGATAGGTATACTAATTTGGGCCAAACGCCATTTCAGATCCGTTCTCAAATCTTCAAATACTTCCATACAACAGTTTACATTATTTTATTTAAAAAATTATGTTTAGGCATAAAATAAATTAAATCTCTTCTTGTGTAGTACCTAAGCGACGTGGCTTAAACCACCTAAATAATTTGTTTGCAGCAATTTTTTTAAACGTATCAGCGATGGACGACGTTACTAAATTTAAAAGATCATATTCTAACGAAACAGACAAAACATGCCAAAATATTAACCAAAAAATAATAGTTTTGTACTTTTATTATTAATCAAAATTACCTTAACAGTTTCTACTTTAAATTCCTTCATTTCTGTCATCTGAGGATTAAAATCAGTTTTTTCCTCGTTTTTGTCATCTTCTTTGTCGGAATCGCTAGAATCATCAATAAGCGGAACTGATTTTTTCCTAGAGTGAATGAACTCTACATTTTCTAAACTATCTACACTTCTATCCATTCTCGGACTAGGTAGATACTGTCTTCTTTGGTAAGTACCAATTTGGTGATCCAGAAGAAGAATGAGTTCGTGTCTGGGTACTGAACCTAATAGAGTCATCGTTTGTGTGTGGTCAACCAAAGGAAAAACGTTGATTTTTTTGTAAGCTATTAAAAGTTCTTTTAGATTCCTGTAACTCATCGAGACGTACAGAAAACGAATATCTGTCTTCATAAAATCTTCGACATATACACCATATAAACCTGCAACATACAAATATTGGCATTTAAAGAAAATCCATAGAGCTGTTGATGTATTTTAAATATTTTCTTATTTGTTATATAATTTAAATAACGGAATTTGTTATTTCTAATTAGTCTGCCTGTTGTCTTCGTTGCATTATACATTTTGGATTACCACTTCTAATGTTGAAGTCAAGCAACATAGAAATTTCTAATAGAAGAACAGCAAATAATTATGCCGTATCTCTGGTCACTAATGCTTTAGCTACTAAATTTATTGTTAACAGGCAACAGGTAATATCTTTCTTATTTGAAAAGACAATTCGAATGTTTTTAATAGTATTACAATGACATAGTGTTGTAACCGTTGTAACCTCATAATCTAGATAGATACCAAAGTATGAAACGCAGAATTGAACTAAAACTTAGGGTCTTAGTTCCATGCAAGATAATTTGGACGTTTTAATTTTAGTTTTGACATTATTAGATTGTCATCAATTTTGAATGTAACTCCTGTTAATAAAACCTTTTTAATTCATAACATTAATTGGCGACGAGGACAAAAAATAACCCCGAACAGTTTACAGAATTCTTCAAGCAACATCAGACACAGCAACAACAGTTTACGAAACTTTTACAACTACTGACACAACAAGAGAAAGCGGCACCATTCAATAACGGATCGGCCCCTTGTAGTAGCACTACAAGTAACGTAACATCACAGACATAAAAAACTTTAAATGCGAAACATTTAACCCCTCAACCACAACAGCGGACAATTTTATCGACTATTTTGAAGCCAAGTGCAAAATATGAGGCAAGAAATGTAAAACCATACAGACTTACTTATTACTTGTTTGACACCAGAGATTTTCCACCAGTTAAAAGTAGCATTTACCCCCCATATTTGAAACCAGAACATACGACGACATCAAAGCCAAGTTATTAAACTTACCGAATTAAAAAAAACCAATTTGAATTAAAGCCTTTTTTGGAATTGCACACGCGAAATTGATCAGGCAATGGAACACTACGCTAACAAGTTAAAAGAATTTAACAAAGACTGTGGCTATGAAGGTGGTTTATTGGAACGACAATTACAAGATCGTTTTGCTACGGAATTAAATCACGAGCAGCTACAGATTGATTTGAAACAAAAATTGCCAGATTTACGCGAGGAAGCACAAGACGGCTCGCCTAAAAAGGTAACATTGGCCCAAATTTTCGCTACAGCCCAATCTCGGGAATTAGCCGAAGGAGACAGGGAAGAAATTAACACGTGAAATAATAGAAAACCAATGTCGACGATGTGGAAAGCGTGAGAAACACGATTATAATGATTGTACAGCTAATGAACATACGTGTGAAGAATGTGGTATAAGAGGACACTACGGGAGCTGTTGCGTTAAATCAGGCAGGGTGCGTTTCACATATTAGAGAAAATTGAAGGATCACAATAGATTACATATAATTGAGAACCAATCAAACGTAAACAGTAATTTAAAATCAGACTGTTCAGAAGACAATAGTGACAAAATTAACAATGAAGCGTTACGATGCAAGAAAATAGATATACACATCAACGGTATCAGTTGCACCATGGATTGGGATCCTGTTTAAATGTATTCCATTATAAACACATATTTCTGGAGACGCATTGGTGCACCTCAACTATCTGAGTGGCCAACTCTGCGAGTGTACTGTAATTTCAAATTAAAGCCTAAAGGAATAACACACGTAACAGTAAAGGTACAAGGAAGCTACTTCCGGTGGTTCTAATGAAAACAGCTAACCCCATGCTTTTTGGTCTACACTGGAACGAGGTATTTCGTATGGAGTTCCCTTCATCCACGCGATAAGCCATTTACCCTTAAACACGTACTAGACTCACACGCTGAACTATTCGAACCTGAACTGGGACGAGTAAAATACTATCAAGTTAATATTCATATCCAACCAGAAACGAAACCAAAACATTTACTAGCTAGACCTATCAAGTTTAGTATACAGAAAAATGTAGAGGTTGAACTGGAACACCTAGCCAAAGAAGGAAGTGTCACAAAAGTCGATCCCAATGTCACACCAGTAGAATGGGCAACACCCACAGTGAATGTTTTTAAACCAAACGGATAAATAAGGATTTTCGGTTATTATAGTATTACAATAAATCCTGTCTTGATCAACTATACACACCCAATACCACTTTTCGACCCGCTTCGACGGAAACCAGAATACGGCGACAAATATTCAAAAATAGACTTAAAAGATGCTTATTTACACACACAAAGGATATTTTAAATACAATAGGATGCCCTTTAGCATCACAACAGCCCCCTAGCAGTATTTCAACATTTCCTAGATAAACTGTTGGACGGTGTAGCAAACGTAGCGGTTTATTTCGACGATATTGCAGTGACCGGAAAAGACGATTCCATACATCTACAGATATTGTCTACTGTGTTCACGAAACTAACATAAGCTGGACTAAAAATAAACCTTAAAAAATATTCATTCCTACAGCCAGAAATCGAATACATAGGGCATGTCATCGACTAGAATGAAGTACGCCCAACCAGATATAAAACTGGAGCAATTTTGCAGGCCTCGGCTCCTGAAAATACTAAAGAACATACCTCGGATTGTTAAATTTCTATGAACGTTTTATCCCACATCTTCATAGTATCTGTGCGGATCTACATCCTCTAACGGGTGAAAATAGACAGAATACGAAAACAGTGTATTCGAGAAAACAAAAGCACCTATAGCAAACACTAAACCACTAATAGCTTTTGATGAGAAGCAACCACTTTTTTTGGCTTGTGACGCATCTGAGAAAGGCGTAGGTGCAGTTTTATACCACGTGAGTCGAAATCAAGAACAGCCTATAGCTTCTGCTTCGAGAAAATTAAAACAAGCAGAAAGCCAGTACTCTGTTATTGACCGCGAAGCACTGGCAATATTTTTTGCCGTAAAAAAATTTGATTAATACCTACGAGGCATACATTTCATAAACTCTTAACCTACCTACTGGGAGCTAGCCGCAACTTACCGAAATTGGTGAACAAATTCCTTGTGAGATGGGTGTTATTAATCGGGTGTTACGACTATAACATTGTTTTTAAAAAGGATAAAAATAATAACCTGGCCGACTTCCTCTCTAGATTACCAAATCCAGAAGAGAACATGTCGAAAGAAGAAACCACTATAAAAAAACACTAACCTATTGCAGTCGAACTAACACTAACAGAAAGCCTCATTAGAGAACATTCAACCAATGACTCAATCCTGAAAGAAGTAGAACAATGTATAAGTACTGACTGGAATGGCTCACAATACCAAAAAAAGTGAACTCAAACCCTACTTTAGAAAACGCAACGAGCTGTCGGTAGAAAAGAAAATAGTCATGTGGCAAGGGAGGATTGTTATTCCGGAAACACTACGTAAGGCAGCACTGAAATACCTCCACAGGGGACATCCCGGCATATCTGCAATGAGGGCACTCGCGAGATTTTATGTTTGGTGACCATCAGTGAAGGACGACATAGATACTTACGTCAAACGTGGTCAAAATTGTCAAGCAAATAGACAAAATGGTCCCGAACTACCCGTCTACTCGTGATCTATATCTGACAAAGTTTGAAAAAGGATACATGTCGATTTTCCGAGCCCATTCGAAGAGAAATACTGGTTTGTTTTATCTGACGTACTCTCCAAATGGATCGAGATAAAGCCTATGATGAAAATCACCACACAAAAGTTATGTGGAAAACTCGAAGACATTTACAAAATTAGGATTACCAAAAATAATAGTTTCTGATAACGGGCCACAGTTTACATCACAAGATTTCCAAGAGTACTGCAAAAATAGAGGAATCCTACATGTCACGTCATCGCCATATCATCCACGAACTAACGGGTACGACTTGTACGTACTTTCAAGACCAGAATGGCTGTCAGCGAAGATAAAAAACATCTTATAGAAAGGGTTAATGAATTTCTGTTTACATATCGCAATACAACTCACAGTACTACGGGCAAATCACCTGCCCAGATGATGTTTGGACACCAGTTAACTTGTTTGCTAGTTATTGTACAACCAAATACGAGATAAACGTTAGAATTCAAATATCTACAATCTAATATAAATAGTGACCATCAAACTCCTACCTATCAACCCGGTGACCCAGTTAATGTGCGAATCAAAATTGATTCAAAATGGAAACCAGCAATTATATCTGAACGCACGCACCGTTATTCCTATATTGTACAGACACCAGAGGGTATAGAGAAGCGTAGACATGCAGATCACATTCGCCCTCGGGATACGGCATCGTCCAGTAATAAAACCCCTTTGTAAAACCCTAGCGGGTGACTGAAGGCGAAAAATCAAGTTCAGAAACAATATCCAAGAGTAACCCCTTACCACCTCCTGGAACACCGCCATTTCACGATAAATCACCAATGACAACGATAGAACCAAAATTAGCATTGAACACGGAGAGTAGAACTTCGCCCCAGAGACAATCATGGTGGGCACAAGAAACCAATTTCCCCAACATCGAGTTTAAGGTACAGCAAGCGCACGATCAAACGTCCACAACGTCTCATTGAGCAAATAGAGTGACCATGGAGGAATGTTGTAACCTCATAACCTAGATACATACCAAAACATGAAACGCAGACTTAGAACTAAAAACCTAGGGTTTTAGCTCCATGTAGGATAATTTGGACGTTTTAATTTTAGTTTTGACATTATTAGATTGTCATCAATTTTGAATTTTTTAATTCATAACACATAGCCTATTTTTTTTTTTTTTTAAATAAGTAACAGCTGTATCTACGCTATTTAGAGGCGGATGTTCGTTCAAATTCCAAGGTACTTACCACTTGTATTTGGAAGCAAATCGGGCAAATAAGGTAACTTTTTAGACCGAATTACCAAATCGTAAATACTTGGAGTTAGTATCCTTGCAACTCCATTCGCTATTAAAACAGCAATTAGAACTGGAATTATGTACGTAATAGAAGATGTCATTTCAAAAAGAATGACACAAACTGACATTGTATGCGTCACAGCTCCTGTCCAGGCTGCTGCTCCCACTGCTGCATATGCTCCTGGAACGATTTGGGCCATTCGTCCGGCGTAACCAACACCTGTACAAAAAATAATAAACTTAATATTACTTTGCCCCTTGAAAATTAATATAGAGTAGGAGGAAAGACAGTCCAAGACGTACTAACTCCTCGCATATAACTTTTAAGATTACATCATATTCCATATCTAAGAACACGTTGTTATCAATACGTTTTTAAGTTGAAACGCCAATAGGCTCACTATTTTTTTGAGGAGTACATACAGTAGGGTGGAGTGATACCAGAAATACAAAAATTAAAGTGTAAATTTTTAGTTGGCCTGGGTGTGGAAAAGTTGCCTTTTAGTCCATCGAAAACACCTTTAAAAAAAAAATAAAAAAATTGTAACGGTTTCAGGTTCCTTTTTTTATAAAAAAAAAAAATCAAAAAAGATGTAAGATAATACGTAATAGGCAAACATTTGAAATTTGAATTTTTAATCGGCATGAGTGTGGAAAAGTTGCCTTTTAGTCCATCAAAAATTTAAAATATGAATTTTTAATTGGCCTGTTTGGAAAAGTTGCCTTAAAAGTTGCTTTTTGGTCCACCAAACATATCTGTAAAGAAATTTTGAAAAATTAAAATAAAAAACGTTTTTTTCTTGTAATAGTAAAATTTCAAAATCAAAAAGGAACCTGAAGATATTATTTTTTAAACTGATTTTTTTTTGTGGACAAAAAGGGCCTATTAAGGCAACTATTCCACACCCAGGAATTGGCAAATTCGAAAATAAGTTTTTTCGCTGCACCCTTACATACAGTCTTTTGACAGAGTTTTTATTTTATTTTTTTAACTAGCTTCAGTCATAAATCACATTTATGAAATATAAATAAAAATTACATTATTGGGTGTTGTTTCCAATAACTGGCCTCATCTGGTTTATGATACGGACAACATATTGTATTTAGCAACGGCAAAAAACTAATAGATTAATCAATTTATTTATAATTAAGCCCTTTTTTATTGCAATGTTCAGATTGTGTTTCTTACTACGCCGAGAGAGCTGTCGAATCGGCAATGCCGCATTAAAAAGAAGAGACAGTTGCTAATTTAAGTTGGGATGGTTTGTGCGAGTATGTTTATCTGAAGAGCAAGTATAAGTTTTAAGAATAAATCAGTATTTACGTCTACTAAGCTTGCTTTACACTGCTGTCACATTTTAGAATGAATTGCGTTTTTTCCAGATAAACACTATAATAGTTGCAACAAGAAAAAATATAGTAATAATAACTGGCATTAAGGATGCAACTATACTTCCGAAATGTAATTTTGAAAGCTTTTTGTGTGCTTTAGAACCTTTTGTTCAAACAATACCGAATTATAACCACAAACAATCCTTGTAACAATACTCCCATACTCTCTCACAATAATTTGTAACTACGTGGACGACATAGAAAATGTTTGCAACTCGATTTTTGTAAACAAAATTAGTCTAGTAGTTTTTCGTCGTTGGTTTAGACATTGTGAAAGTAAGTCTATCTCACGAGTCGTAGACACTTATCTCAGTTGCTAAGGACGAAGTGACGTCACCAAATGAAAAAGCGAGTATTGTTTCATTTTATGGCTTAGGTGTATGTAGTGTATTGAATTTGTGTAAATGATGACTCAATGCTGGGTCGAGATATACCTATGTATGATATGTATGATTCATTCATGTAACGAGACTCGGGGAATAAAGTATCCACAGAGAGTGTTCTGTTTAAATTCTACATTGACGATAAGGAAAACTAAAAATGTGTAATATAAGTGACTTTAGTGAAATACAGAACGTAGTGTGTATTACAAATAGATATCCACCTAATAATACAAACATTCAAAGCAAAAATAATTTTAAAATAATCACAAGTTCACATTATTTTAACATGCCTATGAAAGTTCATTTTTTCTATATTATATACCTACACATTATTGTTATAATGCCTATTTGCTCGTAAAAACGAAATTTATTTAATGAAGGATGGTAAAAATGAATTTGAAAATTATTTAACTTGAAAAAAAAAACTTTATTTAATTATTTCAAAAGGATGGAATAATTTGGAAATATTTGATGCGTGTGACTAGTATTCACATCAGTTGTAAGTCATAAAGTTTGATTTTGTTGTAAAAGAAACATAACACCTTATTAAAATTTTGAAGTATAAATGGAGTTAAATATTCACAATAATTAAAAAAATACAAGATTGAAAAAGAAAAAGGAAACAAGTTTGGAACTTGAAAGGAAATTTAGGGTTTAGAACTGTGTAATTAGTAAAGGGTCAAGATCTCATGAAAACGGTTTGGAACTAAAAAAAAAAATTGGAACTGGAAACGAGAGTTTAGAGTTTGGAACTCAAAACATAAAAAAATATTAGAACTCATATATAAAAGAGAGGGTTTAGAACCATTAGAAATAAGTTTGGAACTTGAAAGGAAATTTAGGGTTTAGAACTGTGAAATTAGTAAAGGGTCAAGAACTCATGAAAAAGGTTTGGAATTAAAAAAAAAAAACGTTTGGAACTGAAACGAGAGTTCAGAACTCAAAACAAAAAAATATATGAAAAAGAGGGTTTAGAATCATGAGAAATAAGTTTGGAACTTGGAAAAAACAAAAAGTTTAGAACTAACACAAATATAAATATATAAAGGGGTGTTTAGAACACTTTCTATCATAAGCATCTTGTAGTAATATTGGCAAAAATGCGAGAAAAGCAACGATTTATGTTTTTAAAGACGGCACCAAAAAGTTATTAATTAGGGAAATTTACCGCAAAAGCATAAGGTGTTCTAAAGATCAGGCTAGAAACTAATAATGCAACTGAATTTCCAAAATTTAAAAATATTACAGTCGATATCCCAGTAGACGATTCCATTATTAAACCTGTATACCAGCCATATAGACGAATTTCTATACCTTTAGAGTCAAAAGAGGAGTCGACGGTACAAGAGTTGTTAGATTCATGGATTATTAAACCGGTTAATGGTGTTTCAAAGTACGTTTTACCCATGGTACCTATTTTAAAAGAAAATGGTGACGTCCGACTTTGCATTAATAAGAACCATGCTTAATGTGGAAAAACCACTCTCTACCTACCACAGATGTCATAATACCTACCTTTAGAAAAGAGATACCATATTCTCTAGACTAGACATTAAAGATGTGTTTCATCAAATAGAACTAGTCTCAATTATAGACATAATACGACACTCATTACAAGTAGAGGGCTATTCAGATATACGAGACTAATGTTTGGTATTACGTGTGCTCCTAAAATTGTTCAAAAAATAATGAGGCGAATCTTAGCTGGCTGTGACGGTACTATAAACTTCATTGAAGATATACTTGTACATGGATCTGATGAAGCACAACACAATATTAGATTAAAACAAGTACTCGAAGCATGAAAAAAAAAAAAATGAAAAATTGGCGATAAGAACTACTAGCAATGTACAATAGCACTCCTCATACAACCACGGGCCAAACCACATCCGAATTATTTGTAAAAGACAGTGTAGATAAAAATTTTCAAATTTTGGAACTGTATAATACAAAGTCCAAGATAATGCAACTCGCGATAGGGTTAAAATTCAGAAATAAAAAGAATACGTAGATAGGAAAAGAATAGCAAAACAAGTAGAGCTAGAAGCAAGCGACAGAGTATATGTAAAAAAAATCGAAAAAGGAAATAAAATAACTCCCGAATTTGAACCCGCTACATATACAGTTTTAAGTAAACAAGGAGGCGATATCACAGTCCAAAATGATAGGGTAGGGTAGGGTAGGAAATTAGATTAAATGTTGTATATTTGAATTTGTTCTAGTTTACGGGTAGCTGTTAATTTTTGGGTTTTCGGTACCCAGACAACTGCACCTTATGTAATCATAGGTCTTATGATAGTCGTGTAAGTCCATGCGACGACTCTGAGGGAGAAACCCCAGTTGCGCCCCACGGTTCGGCGGCATTGTTCATAAGCAATGTATTCTCTTTTAACTGTTTTCTAAATGCGAGTTCCATGTTAATTTGCTATCAAAGATGAGACCTAGGTACTTCGCTTCTGTTGCAAAGTTTAGTTTTGTGTTTAGGAGTTCTGAAAGTTTTAATTCCATTTTCATCCTTTTCCTTGCGAAAAGGACCATTTCTGTCTGCTTAGGATTGATAGACAGCGAATGGTACTTGCACCACTGTTCTATAATTTTTTAGAGCTACTTGCATTCTTTCGCAGAGTATGTTCTCAAAATTCCCTGTTTGCAGAATGACCAGGTCATCTGCATATGCTATTGTGTAGTGACTGTCATTATTGAGGCGGCTGATGAGGGTGTCGAGGTCCATATTCTACAGTAGAGATGATAGCACCCCTCCCTGTAGACATCCCCTCGCAACCAAGCCTTTTATATTCACATCTTCTACACTTATGTTTACTGCTCGCTTTGAAAGCATGTTATGTATCCAACCACTAACCATTTGTGGAACAGTCCTGTTGGCTAGTGAGTGTATTATCTTTGGGAAAGTGGTTTTATCAAAAGCACTTTATTCTATGTCTATGAAAACACCCAAGGCGGACTCCTTATTGTCAAGGGATCTCTCTATCCGGTTAGCAACTAGATGCATGCATGCATGTTGGTTTGGGTGTAGTGGTGTTGTAATCACCGCATCCCTTATGTACCTTTTGCATAGCCTTTCCAATGTCTTCATGGAACACGATGTCAGACTGATGATCGGTAAGTTTTTGGGACAGTGTAATTCATCTTTCCAGGTTTGGGTATAATTACCACTTTAACCTCTCTCCATTTTTTGGGGATATAACCTCAGAGCCAACGAGGATCTGAATAAACTCACCAGGTGCGGTGTGAGTTCTTACAGACCCCACTGAAGTAGGGCTGGATAGATACCGTCAGGTCCTGGCGATTTAAATGGAGAGAAGCTGGGTATTGCCTATCTAATTTTTCCATCGTCTACAATGTGTTTGGCAGTTTGCCAATCATAGACAGATGGATTGTATTCTTACTGTGCCCAGTCGGCCACGTCTGTGATGACCGAGTCAGGGAAATGTGTTTAGTGCCATCCTCTTTGATTAGCGCACCAATGCTTAGGTGTGGATCTTTTGAGAGAGCTTTTTGTAGCCTCGCTGTCTACAGGAAATCTTCGATTTTTTCGCAGTAGGAGCTCCATGCATCTCTCTGTTTTTGTCTGACGATGTTTTTGTATTCTCCGTGGTGAGATTTGTAAGTATCCCAGTCCTCTTTGAGTTTTGTGGTTCTTGCCTTATTAAAGGATTTCCTAGCTATCTTCCTGAGGTGATCCAACTCGTGACACCACCATGCGGTAGTCGTCTGATCGTATTGGACCAGCCTCAGGGGGCAGGATTTCTTATAGGCATTGTTTATTTTGCTTTGGATAGCGTTTTAGTTTTCCTCCAAAGCATTGTTATTGTTTGGTATTGATGTAGTACCGTAATTTAAAATACAAGTTACTTACAGTTACTTCTAACATTATCCCTATTTGGATCGCAGCAGCAATTGGACCATCCACGGTCTTAAGGGGTAATCAAAATCGTAGAGCTTGGGGTTCATCTAGACCTAGACGGTATAGGTAAAATGCATGAGTTGAATGAATGGATAGGATTAGGGCATCCAAATGATGGTACAATTAGCCCGTGAGAAAATTCAGGCTAGAACCCAAGCCTGATTGGAGGGCCTGAAACCCCTGAGGGGAACTCTTCAATAGCCGTACATAATTTTGTAGACGAAATACATTGTCACATCCGAAAATAGTACTTTACTTGTTCTCTGCATGAAGACCTGAGGACTTATAAACATGGTTCGTTTAACGTTTCAAAAATACAATAGTGCGTTTTTAATGATTATTCAGAAAAGGGAAGATGTATAATAGATTTGCTGAAGTTTAAATGCTATGAATGGTAGTCCACCCAACTTATCAGATACAAATTTTATTTGCGGTTTATCTAAAAATTTTAATTTCTACTAAGTATTCATTTCTCTTATATTCACATTCCTACAAAATGTAGTTTTCTAATGAAAAATAGTGCTCTAGCGGCTTGATAACGATTTACAAACATCGTAATGTTAATTGTATGAAATAATGAGTTTGTTACGAAATAATACTTCTTTTGATTTTGAAATACTTATCAAACCACACATATAATTGTATGCAATATTTCAATAGAACACTTATTTTACCTTGTGGAAACCATGAATACATTAATTCTCCTACAATCCTCCCCAATGCAGCGCCTGCTCTGAAATTTGGTATAAAGACACCATGGGGTATCGGCAACGATGATGCTAGTATCGATGCTATAAACTGGTAGGCAATAAAAATAACCAAATTTTCATAAATTCCAGTCCAATGTGTTGTCCAATTTGATATTAAATTACTTTGTACAATGGTTAAATTGTCTTTCGTCCAGGTAAAGTTGCTGAAGAGGCTAATAACCTGTGGACCTGCTGGTAACTCGGATGCCATAAATTGACCTAATCCGTTAGGCCAAGTTGCAGTTGAAATGACTAAGATGATAAAGCCTGGGTAGATGAAACGGCTAAAAACAAAAATGATTTGAGGTAAATACAAGCGAAAATTAACTTAATAACACTCTAAAAATTATATAGTTGTTTTCAGCGTTCTTAGAATGTACCCCAAAATAAATTTTATTTGACCTTCTCTCACTACTCCTCGTTTGCTTTACCAGATATTAGACCCTGCTTTATTCATCTTTTAATTTTTCCCGTATTATGTCAAAAAATGTCGATGAAACAATCTGAAATAATTTAAATTACCTGGTTTTCTTAATTTTCATAATAATCCTATTAGTGTTGGCCCAAGCATCATAATGCTGTTTGCACCAAACATACAGAGAACCGCCAAGACCACAGATCAATCTAGAATAAAAAGTTACCAATTTAATTTTTTTAATTTTTACAAAATATTCGTTGGTTATTACTTTACCCCAGAATAGCGTAAGATATCAGTTCCCAAGGATCGTAAGGAAAATCTATGAAGTAACTTGTGGAAAATACTGCTGTTATAGTTTTGGCACCGTCAATCCATACGAGTAAAAGTCTGTAAGTTGTTGCACCCCAAACTGCTGCAAAGAAACCTCTCCAATAGTTTCTAACTGCAAAGTAGGCTGTAGTGATTTCAACACTAAAGAGCACACCTGAAAAACTCGATAAGTTTGTCAATGTGATATGTGATGAGAGGCTACCAGCGATTTTTATAAAAAGTTTACTGAGCAATCTGTTGTACTCGGATTATTGACGATTGCAGTATTTGAGGAGAGCGATAAAAATGAGTCCGAAAGGATTTATTTTCGAACTTGGCGTCCAAATTTGTAGGGGTGGTAGTTCGCATAATTTGGGAGCGATTGGCAGATTTCATTTTTCCAAAATATTTAAAATAAAAATAATTAAAAATTAATTAAAAATTTTAAACAGGTACGGTCCTGCACAGAGATGAGAGCGCCTCGAGCAATACGCACTAGAAAAACAATCAGCTACGTCTTTCGATACCGACCGGGCGGAGGGAGAAATTTACAAATCGCATCTGTTTTTGAGTTGTAAATCTCGATGAGTAACTGATCAGGCAACTATTGGCGATTCAATTTAATTTTCGCGCGCCTGTCTTCTGTCATCTATAAGTAGGATGTTTCTTTGTTTACATGTTTTTGTTTTGGGCGGATTTTGTATTTGTGATTTTTTAACTGTTTTTAGATAATATTCTCATTGTAATAGTGTTTTTGAGTTTTATTTAGTGTTAATTTAAGTTTAAGTCTCGTGCTTTCGTCATAAATATAATATTTCTCATGTGTATGACTTAATTTGTTGGAAATATTCACCTATTGGTTGCTACAAGAACATCTAGAAATATGTATTCACTAAACCCAGGACATGTTTTATTATGTGGTTTAAAGGACATTTCAGGTACCACACGTTTATTATTGATGAACTTATTTAAAAATCTTACTAGACTTATTCTTATATTATGAAGTGAATCATGTAGTACTTTGTATACATGTAAATGGTAATAAAACCGTCAAAAAATAAGATTACAGTTTGATTCTAAACAAAATTTTGTAAAATTTCAATATTGTGAATTTGTAGATATCCATTTATCGTAAAAAACAAAATTTTACGACTTGTACTTGGAAAATAGTGAATACTTCAGTTTTGATTTTGACATTAACACAATATAGATTGCATTTTTCCAGGGGCTTTTTCGCAGATTTCATTTTTAATATAAACACTATCACATGCTATAAGAAATAAACACATTTAAAGTTAAAAAGTAAGAAAAAACTCGAATTGTAATTGATACAAATTAAAATGTAAACAATGAACACGAACGCCAATTTTGCCAAATGATGAACTGATTTTAAAACAAAATTAATAAATGAACAGAAATTTAAAAAAATCAATATAATAAATCGGTTTTATAAAAAAAATCTTAAATAAATATAGAGTATGATAACATATTACCATACACAAATTTTTATTCTTAAATAAAAGGTCTTATCCACTTCTTCAAGAGCTAAAATCCGACGACGTAGCGAAGTTTTGCTACTTCTGGCAACACTGAACGATATCCTACTTATACGGACCTTCTACAAATTTCCTCCAGAGGGCGTATCACTTAACTTGAATCGCGAATTGCGCTACGCGCTCAGGGTAGGACCCGATTTTGATATTTTTTATAATGGCTCTATTTTGTGTATTATATATTTTTTAGAAAAATGAAATCTGCCAATCGTTCTCAAATTATGCGAACTACCACCCCTACAAATTTGGATGCCAAGTTCGGAAAAACCCTGTATACCTAATATTTATTATTTTAATATTTTGCATAAACGAATTATGTATATTGATAATGAGGTAAATATTGAATAATAGTTATCACTATCACATTTGAATGATTTCGTAAACTCATAGCCTAATTCATTGAGCCATATTTTAATTTACCACTTTTAAATAAAAGTGTCATTATATTGATTGTCCAATGGAATTAGGCGATATTTCGCGAAATGTTATTTAAATTTTTTAATCTTCGTAATCTGGGTCCTTATTGTTGACGGCGACAGAATAGAACAACCGAGAGAAAGTGGGCGTGGTTCTACTGACAATATAACAACGAATCGAAATTTTCAGTCTTATTTTCGTCGTAACAGTTAATTGTGGTGTTTATTTTAACAAGAAAACATTGATTTATCCTTTTAATTAAGAATTTAGAAGTAAATTGAGATTGAAAAACCATTTTTTTTTTAATTTTTTGCCTAAATACACCCTATAGAATAACTATAAATTGGTATAACGGTGCCAAATTGGGGTGCCCACGATTCACTTGGCGAGCACACAAAAGAACTTTCACGACACTTTAGGGTATGGTCCGTTATTAACCGACTACTAACCGCAAGTAACCAGGATTCTTTGACAGCGGTTCCTGAAAAAAAAAAAACTAATTTCTTGGTTACTTTTGGACCACGGCCACGGCCGATATTTTCGTCACTTTCGTGACATTGATATTCGACTTAATAGTAACCGTAAAAATATAGCGGTTAGTAAATTGACGTTTAAGTCACCATTTTTCAGGTAACCGCGTCCCTAAGTTAACGGATTTTTCAGGAATGTCAAGTAGAGCGGTTAGTTTTGGACCGAGTAACCGATATTTCGGTTAATAACGGACCATCCCTTAGTTATTCTTTCATGTTTGACATTTTATGTCATAATTTTTAGTTTCATGGTTATATGCCACGGTTCGTAGACAAAACGGTGGCCTCATCACGGTTGCTAAGGACGCAGTGACGTCATGAAATGAAAACATGAATTGACAGAAAATATTCTACTTGGTGTCGTACATTAGTTTTTTAAAAATTCTAATATTTTATTGTTATTTAGTGTTGTGTATATTTTAATTTTTAAATTTTGTTCTGGTGTTTTTATAATATTAGTAGTTTGATTTATTGAAAGACGAGCTACGAAACAGCAAGGAAAAATCATGTAATAATTTCCATCAAATTTCGAATGAATTACTTTTTATTTGATTTATAAAGCAAAATATTATTGTGTGAATGGTTTATTTTAAACATTTTCAGTTATGGTACGGCCTCCGAGTTGAATTCGGATCACACTTTGTTAATATCTTGAAATGTTTTGAAATTTTGGCAAGCCTGCAGCGAGCTGTAGGTGTTGGTGTAGCCAAACAATTTTTAATTTTTATACATACAAAAATTTGATAGAAATCATTATATGATTTTTCCTTGCTGTTTCATAGCTTGTCTTCAAAAATCAAACACCGATGAAACCTTTAACATTAGAACAAAGTTCAAAAATAAAAAGATAAACACCACTAAATAACAATAAAATATTACATTTTTTTAAAAACTAATGTACGACATTAAGTGTAGAATATTTTCTGTCAACTCACTTTTTCATTTCATGACGTCACTGCGTCCTTAGCAACCGTAATGAGGCCACCGTGTTGTCTACGATCCGTGGTTATCACAAAGCACATATCCTCTAGAGACACCACGCCAATGATAAACATTTAAACCAAATAAACGCCACCTTGTGTTTGGAGTAGAAACTAAAATGAGAATTAACAGATGGCGGTAAATTCAAATTGTAATTTTTAGTAGTACGTAGCAGGGCTGGTATATCTAACCCAGCTAGCACCAGACGTCGTTTCACGTCATAATCACGTTGAATTTTGGTCAAATACGTCGATGTGATTTTTTGACGCAAAAGTAACGTAATAATGACGTCATTTTTGGACCAATTTGACACGTAAATATAGTTGTTGCGAACAAAATAAACCTATTTATGTCATTAATGCACTTCGAGTTTTTGTTATTCATTATTAAATAAATAGAAGGTAATTTATACAACATCGTTTATTTAGCGGTCATTGTGACACCAAAATAAGACGTACTATGACGTTATTTAAAGACTAGTTTGTCACGTTCTGAAATGAGGCGTTAAACTGCGCACGTGTACACGTCGATTCTACCCCTTTATTGTTTTACATTCAATTTATTAATAAAAGGATCTTTAGTGTTTATAATAAATTTATGATTCTCATTTTAAATCTAGGGATTTTTGGGAATTTTCATTTTTAAATGAAATTTTATGTCAACACTGTTTAGAAATGTCAGCTGTCATGTCATTGTCCAGTGTTAGCGGTTCACGCCATTGGGGTCTATTCTGTAACAATTCCTTTATATTTAACGGCCTTTAAAAATATTTTCTTCTTTACTTCTGTCATTATTTAAACGGATCTTTAAAATACATTAGGGACTATCTTAAAGAAATCTGTTTAAATAATGACAGAAGTAAATTAACGAATACGAACATATTTTTAAAGGCCGCCAATATTTTTAAATGCCGTTAAATATAAAGGAATTGTTACAGAATAGACCCCATTTTGTGTTATTTTTGTAACTTGTGTTTGCAACATTCTTTTATTGTATGATTTTGTATGTCTTTTGAAGGTAAGTAGTTAGGAAGTTTAGTGCGATATTATTGTTTATTTTTAGTATGTTTATAGGAATTCAATACGCCGACAAGCACTGCACCGGAGTATCATTAAACCACTTCAAGTTCCAAGTGGCCGACATCCTAGGAAATGAGGTTCTTATAAACAACAAGAACCTTTTAACAAGAACTTAAAAAAGGAGAAAATTGGACTCTTTCCTATTTATAGAACATATTTTACCGAAGGTGAGTGATTTTTTATATTGTAAAGGTGCCTGTAGCTAGCCTAATTTTGTTTTAACTATTAACTAGACATTAATATAAACAAAAATTTAAGGATTTTAAAACAAAACCGTTCATAAAGATAATTTAAACATACATATTCCTGACAGATCTGATTTTATTTATCTTGTTTAGCATATAATAATAAGTTGTGAACCATCAAATATATCACTTTTGTGACAGCTTAATGATATAAAACAATTTCTGTCTTTCTCGGTCATTGCTAACTCTATTTTTTGGCTCAAATTTTATTTAAATAATGTAAGTTTCTGGTAGTTATAACTATTATATTTTTGTTTTAGTGAAACGAAAATTTAATAAGGATACCATTGAAGCTGCTTCAAGCCTGATGTATATTCGGAATGATTTGTTGAATATCTGGACACTGCTATATAATCTTTTGTAATTTATACATTCTAAGTACATATTCTAAGAAGTAATGTTTATTTAGTAATAGTTCAGGTTAGTATACTATGTTTCAATTCAGAAATTTTATGCAGTAACCTATCTTTTTTATATAAAACATATTTTTATTAAACATTTTTTAAATAAAACGTTTTTTATAAACATTTTTTTTACAAATTAAACATTTTTAAATGAATATTATGGTGTTTTTTTGACGTCTAAACACGTTATCTAGTGACGTGTTTATCACGTCGCTGTATGACGTCTTTGATCTGTGACATATTGCCGTCATAATCACGTCACTAGCACGTCATAAATTGGTGATTTCGACGTAAAATGTGACGTGTATTTCACGTGAAAATCACGTGTCTGTGCTAGCTGGGAAGGGGGTCGCGACATAAGAGTCCATTTTGGACGCCATTTTTTGCGGAATAGTAGTCGTCCATTGATCTGGCAACGTGGCAACCTGTAGTTGCCAGGCTTACCAATATAAAAAAAGAATCAATGTCTTTTTTTAAATGACATTTTCATTATAAAATGCCCATATTTTTTTGGATAAAATATTTCAATTTAATAAATTATTAATAATCTCACATGTACATAGAATACGTCGTGAACAGTAGATCACTTTTAATATTGTGCTGTTTTGGTTTGGTTTATTTTAAGAGGTAATTTAAGAGATGAAGACAATTTTCTTGTAGATGAGGATGCATAACAAATTATTTCAAAAATTAAAACGAGGTACTTTTCAAACGCAGTAAATGTCTGGTTACATGAAGTTGTTGTGATTGGTCTAGATACCAAATCGTATCTTTGACACTGTCTGGTGATTGTTCTTTGAGAAATTTATTTATTTTTAACGATTTATTTCAAATGTGCCCATACAGGTGCAATTGAAATAGATTTGTAAGTGAAAGAAAGTTGGTGCTTGTATTTATTTACTTAAAATTTTCCATAAGTGAGAAAACTATTTTTATTTTATTAGATTTAGGACCGATATTTTCACCTCTGGGTAAAGTTACATGTAGGTTTACTTGACAGATTAAAAAACAATAGCCTTATAGTTTATTCAACTTTACTCAGAGGTGAAAAGACTAGCCTTTACAGTGGTAGGTAGAGTATATTATTCAAATTGCGTATAATGCACGGTTACTACCTAATCAGAAGATTTTAACTCGCTCCTACGGTTTGTGCTGCACATTTTATCTTACATCATTATGCGTTCGATAAATAATGTAAGTACTATTATTAATGAGTTTATGATATACTGCAATGTTATACCGTTGTTACGGGAGTCATAACGGGCTAGCCCGGTAAAAATTTTAACTATCTCTAGTCTTCATAATTTTAACAACGTATGACTGAACTATGAAGACAACTGTTAGTTGTAACTAAACTGTCATTATTTTAGGTCACATTCGGAAACTAATAATGGTTGTGTCAAATGATAAAATTTTATTTGATTTTAGGTTGTAAAACGTAGTAAATTGCAGTATATCATAAAACGTCCTTTACCTGATCTCTACGTACTCGCATGTAAAGATGTAGGTAACGGACTTATAACATAAACTTCTATTTTGTTTTGTTTTTGTGTATTAATATTTTTAATATGATTGTTGAAAATGTTACCTTCTAAACTTGTTACCAACATAATTGTTTAAAAATAATATCTCACAAATATTATTTTAGAATAGTCTGATTGCAACTGCTTTGGTCCATAGACCGACCGCAGACGCAAGTCAGGAAGAAAAAAGTGTTGTAATAAGCATCACATTTTTTAAAGGTAACAAAATTGTACCTTTTATCAACTTACCTCCTATTGGCGCATTAAAAGTGCAGGCCACTCCTACTGCCCAAGCTGCTCCTAACATTTCAATTTTTTTACTTTCGTTCCCGTAAACTGTATTGAAAGAAGATATGGCTTTACTCAGTTTGGTAACAATAATACTTGACATATGAATCAGTGGCCCTTCTTTTCCTAAGGGCATTCCGCTTCCTATGGTTGCTGTTAGTCCTACCCATTTTACTAGTAGAACTTTGAATGTAAGAACTTCTTTCATAAAAACACCCCTGAGACTCGTTTTTAGTTGTGGTATACCAGAACCTATAATATAAGCAATGTTAAATTCGCTTAGGGCGTTGTACATAGAATGGCGTAAACTCAGTTTTGCTAACAGGGGTTTAATTTTTAACAAGTTTTATTCAGCGTAACACTGTCATTTTTAAAACTTTGTTTAACAATAATCGATGGTTACACAACAGTTTAAACTTAGAATACATTTTAACTGCCTATTGTACAATATACCCTTACTGTTTATTAAAAAATAAAACCGAAATACATAATTAAACTTAATTTTATAGCCTTTAATAATCCAATATTTTGCACCTATATAAAAAATAACATGTAAATATTGAAGCTACCCCTTTACAAACTAAGAGACAATAATTTATACTTAGCGAAAAGACAGTCAATTAGATCGAAAAGACAATTTGAATGAAACGACAGATAATATACCACATTGTAAGATACTAAGAGGCTGTCTATTTAGATGTTAACAGTGACTATCTTCTACGTCTAATGCCCTACAAGTTCCTTTCACTGTAATATTTGGAATATTTAAAGGAAGGTAATTCAAAAATTGGGAAACCAAAAAAAAAGATGTGAGTACAGTAAATTTAACAACAGTTTCTGGAGTCAAAAATAAGTTGATTAAGGGCCGACATTTTTGTTGAATTTAAGGGAGTTGTAAATAAAACACGACATGTTCTTGTGAAACTTGATAAACGACTAACCTTTATTGTTGTAGAAAAGGATAGAGATACCTGAAAAGAACAGTTCTGGGGAACAACAATAGATGGCGCAACATGTACTGAATTAAAATATATTTTTAGATACAATATTTCAATAATTTTCACCTCTGAGTAACGACATGTATGTTTACTTGACAGATTAACAAATAATAGTCCTACAGTTTAATCAGCAGGTAGTGACTTTTAACCAGGGCCGCCGAGAGCCAGGCCGGGCCCCAGGACAATTTTCTAGATCGGGCCCTGTGACAAAAAACAGCTCTTCAAACAAAAACTTCCCTCTCTCGTCTTGTGTCGAATTTCTCATACAAAACAAAAAAAAATCTGTTGTCGGGCCCCCTTTATACCGCTGCCGGGCCCCCATTTGAGTCCGGGCCCCGGGAATTAGTCCCGGCTACCCCCCCCCCTCTAGTCGGCTTTGCTTTTAACTATACTGGTATGTGAAAAGACTGGATCTTAAGCTAACTTGCTTTTATAAAAAATCAATAGTAAAAAAATTACAGGGTGTTAAAGTTGAAATTTGAAAAGTACTTTTGTGCTCGTACTCGACCGCTTAATGTATTTTTATGAAAATGTGCATGTGATAGTATAAAGTGGCCAATAAAATGAAGTTCTTAGCGTTTAAAATGGTTTTAATTGTATAGGTTTTTAGAAGAGTTCCTCCTCTTTATCCCCTTACTTTTTTTAGACAATGGAATTTACTTAAAAACAGGATGCCACTAAAATACTATTTGAATTTATGATCTATAATAATCGGGAATAATGATTGTAAATGAAGTTTTAAATAGTAATAAAATCGAAAAATTTCATTGTATTTTTCACTGACATTTCTCTCAGTAATTAAGACTTTAACAAATAAATACTAGGAATTTCAATGGCGTTCTGTTTTTACCTGAACTTAATTACCTAACAAACGAGGTCAAACAGGTGCGGAACCCTTTTAAAAACCTATAGAATTAAAACAATTTTTAATGCGATTCCATTTTATTGGTCACTGTTAGTAACATCTCTTGTTCATTTTCATAAAAATACATTAAGCCGTTTTAGAGTACGAGAACAAGCACTTCTAAAATTTGAACTTTAATACCCTGTAACTTTTTTATTATCCATTTTGTATGTAATCAAGTTACCTTGAATTGACTTATTTTCGACTCCAGAAACTGCGGTTAAATGTACTGTATATCTTTTTGTTACTCCCTGTATAAACAACTTTTCTACCATGGGTAACAGGAATAACCATCAAAGATTTAAATAAATATTGAAAACTAATTAAAACAAAAATTATTATCATTGAATAGTTCTTTGAAATACCTTTAAAATGAGATCGCGATATGGTCCTTTTTAAAATGATTGGTTATAAAATGACACTGTCGCGTAAATATGGAAGTATAAGGTTTGTTCTAATATACGGGGTAGTAAAAAATTCTGATAACAAGGTATTTTCTTTTAAACAAATTATTCTAGAATAATTATAAAATTGTAAGGTGATGAGTGTGATTGTATTCTGCGTTTAGTGTATCGCCGCCATCATATATCAGATAAATCAAAATATTGTCATATGTGGGTATAATATTTGTTATAAGTGCCACTAGCAATCCATCCGGAGATGTATTCTTAGTTTCCTTATACACGGTGGCGCAAAATCAAGTACCCTATGGAATGTTGTCATGGTTTCGTTTGTAGTTGACATCTGTTCCAGACTTTTGGTTATGGGGTTATCTCAAAGATAGAGTATTTGTAAATAATCTTCGAACACTAGAAGCATTAAAAGACAACATCCGGGAAGAAATTGACAGAATACCACCTGAAATGTTGGAGAAAGTTATGAAAAATGCTTTAAAAAGAGTTTAAATAAATATTTTTCATTTATAATATGACTGTTTTTTAATTAATCTTACTTTTAAAAAATAAATAGGCGACTTTATTTTGCGCCACCTTGTATAATCAGAATTTTAATACTTATATTAAAATATGTTAGTTCGCAAAAAATCAATGCTTTATGAACAAAAAAGAAACTAAAGTATTTAGAGATTATTTTAAAAACAATGAAATAAACGTTACCTTTCCTTTTATTATATAAGCAGCTTGAAAAGAGAAATATAGTGATTTATATTGAAGAAAATATATTATTCAGTTTTAAATACTTATATATAGGGTTGGACATATTTATCGAAATACCTAATTTCAGCTTAGATTTTAATTTAAAAAATTGTGAGATATAACTGTATATAGGATTCGAAGAGTCTATGGCTTTGGGCCATTTGCACAGCTAGTCGTTAAGAAATAAGCGCAGCTTAAAATGACACTTGTAACGGAAAAAAAGTTATTTTAAGCTTAACTTAATTCTTAACGACTAGCAATGCGCAATAAATTAATTTGAATAATTGATACAAAACTTATTATTTGATCCAAGTTTTAAAATCTGAATGATCAATATGCAAATCTTCAGTTGTATTAGGTACATAACTTAGCTTCGTTCACGGAGCAAAGAGCAAACCTATAATTCAGTTCCTTTTGTTCCTTCAACGCGTTGCCTATATAATAACTTTTATGTCCAACACCATATTTAAGTTTTACACATTCTTAGAACTCACCTGCTGCTTGAGGAGCTACTAAATGAGTTAAACCTACATCCCACATCACCAAGCAGAATGGTAAACATATCCATGCGACCCATTTAGAGAATAATCCATGTGCCAATTCTCCATAAAGCCACTTCTGACCTACAACAATAAAATTATTTGAATAATTCACATTTACCATTATTCGACAATTTTGAAATACTCAGGCTCGAGAAAAGCGCGTGAGATTTGAATCTAGTAATTTTTCAAAGACAGTACAACTCATAGAAAAATAAAAAGAGAAGGTTTGATTAAATGGCGGGATTTGTTTCCTTGTTGGTAGTTGAACCGTAAGCGCTTAGCGCGCTGCTATCACTAAATTCAAACCCGTTTTACACCCATAAAAAAATATGTTTTCAAAAATAATGACAAAGAAATCAATAATTTTACTGATTTACCCCTTTAAATTTCACTTTGCTATAATGTGTGATTAAATACAGAGATAATCGTTAATAAATTTAAAGTTAAAGCTAAATTTAAATTAACTTTAAATTTATTAGGTGGTGTAAATCTGGCTTTGAAAATAAATTAGGTTATGTTGCTATAAATATGTCAGCCTGATATTATTTTCATTTTCAAATGCAGGTGATATTTTTTTCAAATGTAGGTGAGTAAATTGTATTAATTAAGTGTAAGTTAGATTTAACTAATTTAACTATAGGCAGGTTCTTAAGAAAATCATTAACTTCTGATTCATTTAAATTTTAATTGCAGAAGTACCTAAGTATTTTTCTCACAAAACTAACAAGAAAGTTTGTTTTTCTTGCTATTATTACTCTAGAGATCCACATTTTAAACATTTGCGGTCAAAAAAATGAAAGGAGTTGTGAGCTAAATGTGTGAAGCCAATTTACAAACAAATATTGTAGAACCTGAGATAGAACCTGATCTTAGTTTTACTCATAAAGACCATGATGAAAAAAGGCGAATGATTTGTGCTCAAAAAGTTATTGTTCAATTTTTGGGTGATATTCATTATTATATTTATCAAATAATACCCAAATATGTTCAAAAACTTATATGCTATTTAGGTCAACTTGTTAATTTTTGCATAGTTCACCTATTAAGATCATAAATCAGATGTTTTCTATTATTATTGAAATTTTAATACCTTTTATTGCAAGAAAAATGTAAGATTTTAAATTAAAAAGGTTATGACTCGTGTTTATTTTTAATTTTAAGATACACACTGCACCTTTATTTTTGTTTTGTTTTAGATATTCCCCGGTATGGAGATTTTTGGAATGTGCATAAATGTGTTTCTTAATTAGGGTCAGTTTCAAAGCCCACCTGTATTGAAGCTGGAGGCTTATTGTAACCGAAATAGGCATTACAACTATTCTAGATTGAAATAGATGGAAAAAGCCTTAAAGGGACAATAAGTATAAGAATATTAGAATTAGAATGATTTGTCCTTGGATTAATAAGGGATATTTAAAACATTAAAACAATTGTGTTTTTAAATTAACTACTTTGACTTTTTATAAATACTATATCCGGTTTTTTTAATAATAAAAACATTGTCATGTGCTATGCTGGTTATCATATTATATTTTTATTTTTCAGTAATTTAGTGTGTGATATAGTGCTTGTTATGTTCAAAATATGCAGTTAGAAGATAATGAGACACATGTAATTACATGGTAATTCTAAATAAATTAAACTTGTTAAAAATGTGTTTTATTTTTCAACTAATTTTATTTTTCAGTTAAAACAAGTGACATTTTCCATTTTTCAACATTTACCTACAACAAAAATTCACTAAACTTATTGTTTGTTTAGTAGTTGTAAGTAAAAGTTGTCAAATAGAAAAATGCTACTTTAAATTGCTTCAAATATCTAAATTATCAAGCCCGCCAATTTTTAAACCGCTTCAATTAGTAGTGTTCTACTTTATCGACTGAAACTGACAGGTGTAGTTCAACCGTAAGCGCTTAGCGCGCTACTGTCGAGGTCAAGCAAACTTGTTACCAACTATTTACACGGAATCCGACCCCCGTGGTACAACTAAGAGACCAAATTGTTTACATTTTTATGTGGCAAATCATTATTCCCACCAGATTCTCGTTTATTGCGTCTTTGCCGGTTTTATAAGTCTGTAAAAATTATTTGGAGAAATTACTTCAATAAAATAAAATTTGATAATCCTATAACTATAATTTTATATTATACCGATTCATCATCGTACTAGGAACATGGTAAACATGATGACCAATTGACGCTTGTCCGCAACTGTCACATTCAAATTTCGTGCTTTTATCGCGGGCGAAAAGTATTTCTTTAGATTTAAAATGAATGTTTACGAAATCGCTGAGAAAGTAAAAATTGTGAAATGGCATTTTCAAGGCAACACAATTCGACAAATAAGCGGTTTGTTTGAGGCGACATTTCAAAATAGGCCCATACCATCACTCTCAACAGTACATCGTATGGTTCAAAATTTTGAAATTCATGGCTGCGTTTCTGAACATAAAAAGGCTCGAGTTAATAATAATCAGAATGAACAGAAGATAGGGATATTATGATTTGTGCAACTGTGGAAGAAAATCCGATGATATCTCAGAGAGAGGTTACGGAAGTTGTAAGTTCCAGTGAAACCACAGTAAATAGAATTAAAAAAAAAACATGGATATCGATCTTATAAAGTAAGAAAATGCCAAGAAATTTATGAAACTGACAATATCAGACGAATGGAATTTAGCGAGGCAGTAATGGATAAAGTTAACAATGACAACAATTTTCTTTACAATGTTGTGTTCACCGATGAGTCGACTTTTCCATTACTTGCCAGGCATAATCCATCCCAAGTTCGATATTGGTCTCGAGAAAATTTACATAAATTTGTAACAGTTCGCACGCAGTTCCCGCAAAAGTTGAATGTTTGGATGGGAATACTAGGTGAAAATGTAATCGGTCCTTTTTATATTGAGGGTAATTGAAATAGTGTTAAATATTTGGATTTACTCAGACACCATATTGTCCCTGAGATACAGCGATTGGCAGGAGCTCGATTTAACAATATTTGGTTTCAACAAGACGGATGTTCTGTGCATAATCGTGTGACGGTGCAGCACTTTTTAAATGAAACATTTCCCAACAGATTATTATCAGGGAAAGGTACAATTCTGTGGCCAGCTAGATCGCCGGATCTCGCACCTTGTGATTTTTTTGTGGGGTTATTTAAAGTCTCAGATATACAAATTCAGGGAAGAAAGAGCTAATGAATCAGATGAGCTGAAAGTGAAAATTTATTCAACTTATTAGTCCCAATATGTTGGCTGAAATAAGACGATCATTTTGTGATCGCTTGGGGTACTGTCTTACTCAAGAAGAAGGTCTATTTGAGCACCTATTACATTAAAAATAAATTCGTGTTCTTTTATTATTGATTGTAATTTATTATTGTCTATTGGATTCCATTTTATAATTTTTATTTTTTTGTAATTTTTTAATCTTAGTTTTGTATTTTTTTTTAATCTTAGTTATGTAATTTTTTAAAGTTCGTTTTTTTTAATGTTCAATGTTTGTTCTCTATTTTTTAATGTTTGTATTGAATGTTTTTCCATTTGAAAACAAAATCAAAGTTGTTTTTTATAAATTTTAAACTGTTGCTGTTCCTACTAGTGTGGAGGGTCTCAAAAAAGAGAAAAAAAAAGAAATGAAGAAAGAAAATGAAAATTAATAAAATAAAAAAAAACGTCGGTGCCGAGATTCGATCCTACCTCTATCAGCGTAGGTAGACTGTAAGTACAACACCTTACCCACTGCGCTACGTCAACAACTATTAAAGTTGTTTAACATTTTGTCTATTATTACAAATTCTGGTTGATGGTTGTATTATTAAATTTCGCTATTTTCATGTCTGAATATGTTATGTTTGTTCTTTATCTTCATTTATTTATAAAATATTCATTAATACTCAACTCTGTCATGAAATGTATAAAGTTATTCCAAATATGTCACATGCGAAAGCTTTGGAATGACAGTAGCGGACAAGGGTAAATTGGTCATCAGTTTGACCGTGTTCGTAGTATCGTGGATGGATCTGTATAAATAAAAATATGTTTTTAATCAAATTATTGCTTAAAGTTTTAATATAAGCTAAATTTTTTATTAAAAATCAATATTAATTTAAACAAAATATTAGGGTTGCAAAGAACTCCGTAAATACGGCATGGCTGAATATCTTATTTTACGGATTTACAACTAGTATCTATTTTTGTGAATGAAATGTAGTTACCGTAATCAGCCGCAACGTTGCCAATCGGGTCTAACAGATATTTTGTGTTTCTGACAGTTTCTGTGTGACTCATTGATTTATTCATTTATAAAATACAATTTTTGTGAACTTTTGTGAAAGCTATAAAGAATTATGGTACATGCATGTGTAGTGTGCAATAAAGTAGAAAATTCCACACCTGTAATTTTGAACCAATCAAAATACGTGTTTTTGACAGATCACCATGGCAACGGAGGTATTTTAGTGCAAATTTTTTTCTCGTGGGGTACCCAACAGCGAATTATACTGGAATTTTTTTGACGTTTACAATAACAGACCATTTTTGACAGACTGGTTTTTATTTGTTCACATAATAGGTTTAGTTTTGATACATTTTAGTTACAATGCTAAGGTGTTTTCTATATTCTTCGGCCACTTCTTTTTTTCTTAATGGCGAAAATGCAGGATTTTGGATGCTTTGAAATATGCGTCTATGTCTAATAAAATATATATAATATTTAGACACAAATTTATTCACCTTTTTCCCATTCAGCACTTTGAATTTGGCGTAGTTTAGGTGCAAATATTCCTGGACAATTCGGAACAAATTTTCGTTTTTCAAGTTGGAGCCACAATCCTCTATTAATCCGAGTAAGTAAGTCATGGTGCAATGATTGATCATTACATCAGACAATTTCACGCATATTTTGCATAGCGTATGATTTTCAAATCGATTCATTTTTAAACAAATAGGTAATTTTGTTGGTTTTACTTGCTGTGCAATATTCTTTATCGCAACAAAACGCGAGTTATTTAATGTTTTGAACTGTCAAAATACAATGATCACAGCCTCCTACGATTGATGCTTGCTGACGCTGGTTAT